ATTTAGGTGAGATAATACTAATCTAAAGATGTGAATCCATTTGATGATACATCTGTGAGGTTTAAGTTGAATTTGACAGCCCGGGCCAAGTCGGACCGAACACTTCTGACAGAGATTTTATTAAGAAAATACAGTGAAAATGCTTCACTTTGAGCCCCTTGTTTTCTTTAAATACGATGTACCGAGACCACAAAAGTGGTATATAGGTAGATATAACACTAATCTATAGATGTAAACACATTTGAAGATACATCTGTGTGTTGAAAGTTGATTTTGACAGCCCGGGCCAAGTCGGACCCAACAAAAGACAAACACTTCTGATAGAGACTATGTTGAGAATGTAGAGGGAAAAGGGCTCCACTTTGAGCACCTTGTTTTCTTTAAGTACGATGTACCGTGACATAATAAAGTAGTATTTAGGTAGATATAACACTAATCTATAGGTGTAAACACATTTAAAGATACATCTGTGTGTTGAAAGTTGATTTTGACAGCCCGGGCCAAGTCGGACCCAACAAAAGACAAACACTTCTGATAGAGACTATGTTGAGAATGTAGAGGGAAAAGGGCTCCACTTTGAGCACCTTGTTTTCTTTAAGTACGATGTACCGTGACATAATAAAGTAGTATTTAGGTAGATATAACACTAATCTATAGGTGTAAACACATTTAAAGATAGATCTGTGTGTTTAAAGTTGATTTTGACCGCCCGGGCCAAGTCGGACCCAACACAAGTCATACACTTCTGATAGAGACTATGTTGAGAATGTAAAGGGAAAAGGGCTTCACTTTGAGCCCCTTGGTTTCTTTAAGTACAGCGATCTGAGACACTATAATGTGGTATTTAGGTAGATATAATACTAATCTAAAGATGTGAATCCATTTGATGATACATTTGTGAGGTTTAAGTTGATTTTGACAGCCCGGGCCAAGTCGGACCCAACACTTCTGACATGGATTTTCTTAAGAAAATACAGTAAAAATGCTTCACTTTGAGTATCTTGTTTTCTTTAAATACGATGTACCGTGACATTATAAAGTAGTATATAGGTAGATATAACACTAATCTATAGATGTAAACAAATTTGAAGATACATATCTGTGTTTAAAGTTGATTTTGACCGCCCGGGCCAAGTCGGACCCAACACAAGCAAAACACTTCTGATAGAGACTATGTTGAGAATGTAAAGGGAAAAGGGCTTCACTTTGAGCCCCTTGTTTTCTTTAAGTACAGCGATCTTAGACACTATAAAGTGTTATTTAGGTAGATATAATACTAATCTAAAGATGTGAATCCATTTGATGATACATCTGTGAGTTGAAAGTTGATTTTGACAGCCCGGGCCAAGTCGGACCGAACACCTGTTTGACTGTTGAGAGTATAGGGAGAAGAGGTCTGCTTTAAATACGACGATCAGTGACATTATAAAGTGGTATTTACTTAAATATTGAACGTTCCTATAAATATAAACACTATGCTCACAGATGGAAATTTGTATCATGATAGCTAGAAGTATTTGATACGTTTCAAATCTTACTTCGTTTAACGATTGCTCTTTTACATGTTCCCAAGATCAGCGACGCTTACAGACTGCTCCACTTTCTGGTTGTCAAGCGATTTACTCCGAATTACTTATTTATGGTGCACTTTGGTGATTGTTCATTAATGTCATGTGTGTATGTTGCATCAATTATATGTAGGTATGATCGCCGATAATGAAGTAATTAGCCAGTAACACTTTGGCCCGTCTTGGCCCGGCCCGGCCCGACTTTTAGGCAATGCCCCAGGGGAAGATAGTTCCGCTCCTGAGTACAAGCCTTGCCGAGTTCCTTCAGAGTTGCCGGAAGGACAGGGCGTCAGGAGCGGGCGATCTGAGGCTGGTTCGATGGGGTTGAGGCCTGGTGACCGGGCTGGCCACTCCATGTATATACAGTTGTCTCTTGCTGTAAGTAGGCACCAACGTCCCTGGCACGATAAGGTCGTGCGTTATCGTCCAGGAGGATGAAGTCCGGTCCGACTGCACCAGCAGAAGGACTCCCGTACACATCCAGAATGACATCCATGTGGCGCACGCCTGTCATCGTGCCAGGACATGAAGATCGGCTCTTCCAGCTCTACTGATCCCACCCGATATCATGATTGAACCCGTCCATGGACGTCATTAAATAGCATTACAAAATGGAAAAAGGATCAGCAAACAGGCCAAAAAGGCCTATATTAATGCTTCTCCTAATATTGTACATTATACATGCAGATTGTAATGAAGTCTATAGAGCAGACATTAATGAGTAACACAACATGAAATAAAATGGAAAGCAAGATACCAAATGCATTTTATATTCTTAAGTTGACACAAAACTTACGTAAAGCGGTTTGTTTCAATGATGTAATTGTGAACTGATTTTATAATGTATTCATTGTCTGAGGAAGATGAATCTTCATTGCCGTGGAGTATAGTATGTATGCTGAGCTGGTTAACAAAAAAGTATTTATCAATTCTAAACTTGGCATAGCGTGGACAAGATAAAAAGTGGGAAGCATCTTCTCTATGTAGGCCACATGGACAGATGGGATTATCAATCAGAAATCTGTCATTAAATGTAATTTTAAATCACTACAACCTAGCCTAAGTCTAGATAAAATCACCTGACATTGCCGCTGGTCATAACTAGCAAAAGATGTAAAATTTGCAGTAAGCTTAGTTTCTCTAGAAATTAATTGCTTAAACCGAGATAAGGAATCTACATTTCTAATATTAATATCAAGTGCATTCCAAGCTTGTATAACAGATGGTAAAAAAGATCGATTATACTGGGATAAGCGTCCTGCACTGGTCTGGAAGTCATTAGAAGTACGAAGGTTATATCCAGTTATGCTGGATATATTAGGTGGGACCCATAAAGATAGATATTTAGGAGTTAGCCCATTGACCATTTTGTAAAATATACATAATTTATGGTAATGTCGTCTGTCGGACAGTGAGCATAAACCCGTTTCCCTATAAAGTTTTTTGTGACTGGTTCCTCGTACTGCTCCACATATTGTTCGTAGAGTATCCAAGTGTAAATTTTCTAATAGTTTTACTTGTTCATCATTACAATTATCCCAAATATTATCACAATAATCAAAAATAGGTAAAATAAAAGATTTGTACATGGTTTCGAGCGTTCTTCGGTTTAGACGGTATTTCAGGCTACGCAAACAATTAATTAATGGGCTCACTTTACGTACAACATATTCAATGTGTTTCCCATTTTCCATCTTCCTGGAATACAAGTCCTAGATGTTTATGATCACTTACTTCAGGTATAGGAATATCATTCATTCGCAGAGGTAATTTAGGACTAGGATTAATTTTAGTAGAAAATAACATGGCTTCCGTTTTGGAAGGACTAAATTTCACCTGCCATTTACTTACCCAGTTTGTTATACATTCTAAATCACTATTCAATATAGCGGCTGTGGATTCAGGATCTTCAATAATTAGAAATAAAGATGTATCATCAGCAAAAAGTTTAATATTACTCGTTATCCCATGAGTCAGATCATTAATATAAATAAGGAATGACAGAGGTCCTAAAACTGAGCCCTGTGGCACTCCGGCTAGAACAGGTTTATAATTTGACATATAGCCATTAATTACTGCAGACTGTTGTCTATTACAAAGATAACTTCCAAACCAGTCCAGAAGATTATCCCCTATCCCTGTTGACTTTAATTTAACTAATAAGCCTTCATGACAGACACGATCAAACGCCTTACTTATATCACAAAATATGGCGCGAACTTCCTTTCCATCATTCAAGGCTTTGGAGATCACGTGATATAATTCAGTTAACTGATAAACAGTTGAATCTCCAGGTTTGAATCCCGATTGTGAAGTGGTTATGATATCATTATCCAAGTAAAAATTGTAGACATGCTTAAATACACATTTTTCAAATACCTTAGAAAGAGAAGTTGTCAGGGCAACTGGTCTATAATTATTACAATCATGAACACTACCTTTTTTATGGATTGGAACAATAAGAGATTTTTTCCATTGACAAGGAAAAGAGGAAAGTCGTAGCGATAAATTGAACAGTAAAGTAATGGAAGCACATAGAGGTAAAGCTAATTTTTTTAAAAGCTTATTACCAATATTATCTGGACCTTTAGCTTTGGTAGTATTTAGACTTAATAAAATATCATGGACTTCTTTTTCAGACAAGAGCAAGTCGTTAAGTGTATTTACCGGCTCATGTAAGTTATTAGTTTCCTTCTCGGGTTCTTCAACTTGGGCTTGTTGAATAAAGAAGTCATTAAAAGCCTCAGCAATATCACTGGGATGACTAACAACGTTCCCATTAATCATAATAGGAGGGGATTGTGTATTTGAGTTTCTATTATGCTGTATAAATTTTTTAACTAAGCGCCACCATGATTTAGTACCACATTCTGAATTAATAGTATCATCTAATTTCAAATCATAAGCGCGCTTAGCTTTCCTAACTTCAGTAATAACTTTGTTCCGTGCTAATCTGAAGCGCTCCCAATCAGTCTGTAAATTTCTTCTTTTAGCAGTTCTATGCAATCGATTTCTATTCCTCATCAGCTTACGCAAGTGGCCATTCATCCAAGAACAATCCCCTGGTCGTACAACCACTTCTTTTCGGGGTATGTACAGATCCAGCAACTGTAATAATTTTGAAGTAAATAGTGAAATAGACATGTCAATATCAGTGTGGTCAATAATATTTCCCCAATCAGTGGCAGCAATACAATCACTTAGGCCATCGTAGTCAGCATGGTTATAATCATATATAATTCGTATATGTATATGTGTGTGTGTTTGTGTGTGTATGTGTGTGCGCGTGTGTGTGCGTGTGTGTGTGTGTGTATGTATGTGTGTGTACCAATGTAGGTGGAGAGTTTGCTGCTTGGATGCGTCGGTGGTCAGTTGCGTGGAGATTCACTCAAAAACAGTACAATCAGAATGAGGAAATAACTACAAACTTACATTTTGCATGTCATGTCTGTTCCAAGTAACCACTACTCCATATCCACCATTCCAATGATAGCAACACGTCCTTTCAGAATGTACTGTAACACTGGTATAAAACTGTGGCTAATTCTGGGGCACAGTGAAGGTGCGGGCTGTGTAGAGACAGGGTGGGACTATTGAGATCAATATACGCGACGTACTGTTTTACTCGAGCGTCGTGACATCTGTCCCGGGGGAGCGTGCGGAGAGCAGTGATCATTTGACTGGATCGCATGCAAGCAGGTCACCAGCATGAGTCACAGTCGTGTTGGGCGCTTACATCAGATAAGGTCCCATTGTATATATTGAACCGTATTTCAAGTGCACCTCCACCCTTTGGTTTTGAAAATTCTGTGTCCAGCGCTTGCAATTAGTTTTGTTAATCATCTTAGTGATCATGTTAGGTTGCGGGTGGCCTCCATGGATCACAGCTGTGATATAAGTGAAATACTGTTCAAAGAAGCTTTGTTCAATTCTCAGAATGAAGACATTACTTTACTTTCGTGGCTTCGTTTTCTTTAACGTACGAGAAACGTTTGAAATGTACTGCGACTAACAAGGAAGACTATAACACACCCATAATAGTTTGCGTGTATTACGTACAACGCTTTCCATACTAACAGGCAGCATTTGAACCAAACTTGACAGCAAAGCTCTGCATGCTGACAAGGTATTTTTAGTCTGTTGGCTGTCATCAAGTAAATATATCTCCAGCTAAAAAGGATAACTACAGTAGCCAGCCATGCGGACATAGTGTCAACTTTAGGGCTGAAGTTCACCCCCTGACACTATTAAGAGGTGGATAGCGGAGTTCCAGAAGGGACATGAGTGAGTGAGTGAGTATGGTTTTACGCCGCTTTTAGCAATATTCCAGCAATATCACGGCGGGGGACACCAGAAATAGGCTTCACACATTGTACCCATGTCGGGAATTGAACCCGGGTCTTCGGCGTGGCGAGCGAACGCTTTAACCACTAGGCTACCAGACCGCCCCAGAAGGGACATGAGAGCCTCGAAGATGATCCAAGAACAGGAAGACCATCAATTGGCACCACTCAAGAAAATGTTGATAAAATACGATTCACCACACGACTCACCATAGTAGGCATAGTAGGCATCATTCAGGAGAGTTGGTTGGTTGGTTGGTTGTTTAACGCCGCACTCAGCAATATTCCAGCTATATGACGGCGGTCAGTAAATAATCGAGTCTGGACCAGACACTTCAGTGAATAATATCATTAGCATCGATCCAGGCAATTGTGATCGATGACATGCATCAACCCAGTCAGCGAGCCTGACCACCCGATCCCGTTTGTCGCCTCTTACAACAAGCACAGTCGCCTTTTACTGCAAGCATGGGTTGCTGAAGACCTATTCTACCCCGGATCTTCACGGGTCCATTCAGGAGAGAGTGGAAACCATTCTAAGGAATGATTTGGGCATGACAAGGATGTCAACACGCTGAGTTCCCAGGCTTCTGGCTTCTGGTGCTTCAGAAACACACACTGATTTTCAGAGATCCATTCATATATCTCGCGCCGCTATTTTGCTTTTTGCCCCCAATGGAATCTGTTCGGCGAATAATGGAGACTGGTGATTCTCTGGCGTTGACATTTTATAATATCATAGACTAGTGTGCCCCTGTAAAGGGAGTCGTATTCAGCAAGACTCATTCCAAGGAATGATTTGGGCATGACAAGGATGTCAACATGCTGAGTTCCCAGGCTTCTGGCTTCTGGTGCTTCAGAAACACACACTGATTTTCAGAGATCCATTCATATATCTCGCGCCGCTATTTTGCTTTTTGCCCCCAATGGAATCTGTTCGGCGAATAATCGAGACTGGTGATTCTCTAGCACTGAAACTTTATAATATCATAGACTAGTGTGCCCATGTAAAGGGAGTCGTATTCAGCGAGACTTTATCAACACACTTCACTGAATAGCTACAAGTATACGTTTTTATAAAACGCAAATTTGATGCAGTGATCGGATGAATTGTATCTGAAACTATTAATTTATCAGAAATAATATATTCCAGTGTCGAGTTACTTTAGCTTGAACCTTTTCCATATGTCCATATATATATGCACGTACAGCAGCACTTTGAACGGAATTAATCGAACAGTGACAGTTCAACAACATGCCAAGATTATCAGAAGTGCAAAGAAACAACGTCATAGGCCGCTTGCAGGCAGAGGAATCCCGATCAGCTGTAGCCATGGTTTTCGATGTAGCGCCCATCACCATCGGGACGACCAAGAGTAACCGCCACTGTCCAAGACCGCTACATCCGACTGCGCCACCTACGTGAAAGGACGACCACAGCCACCCCACCCCACCCGCATCCCAAATCCCCGGACTGCGCAGAATCTCCGACAAAACCGTTTAAGAGCAGCAGGTCTACGAGCAAGACGTCCTGTCGACGTATCATATTGAGTCGACAACGTCGTCAACAACCACTGCATTGGCGTCGTCAATACAGGGTATGGCCTCAATTGCGATGGAGAGATGTTTGGTTCAGCGACGACTCAAGATTTCTCCTCCGTCGAGGGGATGGAAGAGCACGGGTCTACAGACGTCGGGAAGAACGTTAAGCCGGAAACTGCGAACAGGAAGTTGACACAACAACAACGTTAATGTTCTCCCCTGGCCCTCCAGATCCCCGGATTTGAACCCGATAGAGCACCTGTGGGATGAATTGGATAGACGTTTACGACGTCAACCACAGCCCCAGACGTTGCAGCAGTTTTAAAATATACCAAAAGTCCAGATATTCGTGCTTGTCAAAACTCCTTTATCCACACAAGATCTTTGGCCGTTCAACGGCTCTTCAGGTGAAATGAAAACTTTAACTTACATTGTTGTCGTAGGCGACGCACAACAGTAGTATTTGTGGCGTCATAATGCCTATGCTGTAACAGTGACAATAGAGGGAAAAGTGAAACGTAGTCCTAGGTCAACGTTATGTTCTTGACGTCATAAAGCTGATTTATAAACCTACACATAAAAACATTTACTTTTGACAAAATAACCCAATCTTAGATAAGGTAATTATCCCCGGTCACGAGAAATGCCAATTGCTATATATCCTTGACATCCTCAGAGGCAGGGTGAACGATACAGAGTTATTTTCCATAGTCTTTGTCAGGTTATCTTGGGAGGATTCATGGGGATTCCCCCTCGCTGTTGACGCTGTCCTCCCTTGTTGGGTCGCGGATCAACATCGGGTGATTACGCGGGATAATTAAAACGGCGCCGGCTTGACGACTGAGAGATGGAGTGTTGTTTCCTTTTAAACCCCATTTCACCTCATCCACCTCATCGTACTAGCTTCTAAATGCCACTTGAAGAAGTTATACGCAGTAGATTGAATAGTCGTAGTGTTCCTTGTTTAGTCATATATAGAGGCAACTATACACAGTATGTATAGCCATATTAGTATTGGTACTGTTCCTTGTTTAATCATATAAGTCAAACGTGGTGACACCAAAAGAGTTTTTACATTTAACGCTTCCCCACTGAGTGTACATTAAAACGTGACTGCAACGAAAGCCTTCATCACAATAGCGATTAGTTCCAGATCAGTGCAATCAGAATACAAACTAACGACTACAAACTTACGTTTTCCATGTCATGTCTGTTCCGAGCGACTGCCTCATACCTTCTCACCTCCCTACCGGAATATCTACAGCGTCTCTGCGTTGATATCAACGCTTCCTTACAGAATCCACGTTATCACCACACAGTAGCTGTGACTGATTCTGGTGCACAGTGCGTGCGCACGTTATGTAGCTCTCACACGAAACAGGACGTGGATGTTGAAAACCTTATATGTGTTACGGACAATGGCGATCAACACAGTTACCTCTGTTGGACTATGGCAGCTTAAAGGTTAGGTGAAATGGGGTTTAAAATTGCGTTTATACTTTTGCACCACTTATATAGCGACGTGAGTGAGTGAGTGTGTGTGTGTGTGTGTATGTGTATGTGTGTGTTTGTGTTTGTGTGTGTGCGTATGTGTGTGTGTTTGTGTGTGCGTGTTTGTTTGTGTGTGTGCGTGCGAGCGTGCGTGTGTTTGTGTGTGTGTTAGTGGTTGTTTCATACATATGGAACAGTAGATTTTCAAGGTAGATGTCATCTGTTCTCAATATCTTGTATAATCACCATTAGAGTCCAAATCTGACTGGCATCGTTGTCCCATTGAAGCAGTCAGATCCCGAATCAGAGCCGTTGGAATGTTCACCCACTCTGCCTGCAGTGTTTGTGCTGACTGTCGGAGGTTCTGTGTTTGTTGCTGACGTGCTCACAATTGTTTATCCAGTGCACCCAATACATGTTCAATTAGAAATCTGGAGAGCAGGACATGGATGTTGTGATTCCTGAAAAAGGTTGTTGTCAGTCTTGCTGAGTGGGGGTCCGGCGTTGTCTTGTCGGAAAACGAAGTTCGCTTGTCCTGTGCCTTTGGTTGCATTAGCATCTGAAGAGTTTCCAAGAGAGAGTCTAATTTAGAGTTTATTGTCACCTTTGGATGCTGGTGATATGAAATCTGAATTATTATGAGCAGTACTTGTTTAAAACCATTAAATGTTATATTTTAACTTTCAGATTTGATATAATGTGGAAGATCATTGAGGAATAAATTAAATAATGTGGGAAGTAAATAGCATCCTTGTCTTACCCTGATGTTGAAGTTAAAGGATTGTGAAATGCCCTCGTCAGTTTTTACATCATAAGAGATATCATTATATAGTGATGATGTTATCTTTTATACATTTCCTCAAATTTTATTTGATAGGAGTATGATATCTTTGTTAGTAGTGATCTGTCAACTGAATCAAAGGCCTTTTGAAAGTCTACAAAGCAACTGTACGTATATTCTTTTCTTGTTACTTTTTGTTGAACCTAATGTTCAAAGAACAAATACATTATCTGATGTTCGGTATCCCCTTAGTAAATCCAGACTGACAGTGGTCGTGTAATACAGTTTTTCCATGTGTTCCTTTATTCTTTCTTTTATCAAGTTGAAAAATAGTTTACCCAAGCAGCTGTTTAGTGCAAAACGCCTGTAGTCGTTTGGCCAGTCTTAACAGCCTTCTTATGTAAGAAATTATTGGAATAGAGCTAGCTGGCGCTGGATAGACTTGCTTTATATACATATCTAGACCGTTTTTTCATACAATAAATATATTCCACAGTCATGGTGCATGACTAAACTCTGTGGGAGGTGGCTACTACTTAAGACATTAAACAGTTTAACCAACTGGCCTATCAATGTACAATATATTGCTTTTAAAAGTTACTTCCTTATATCATCTTCGCCTGGATTTTGTTTGTTTTGAACTGTTTTATGAAAGTGAGAATTTCATTAGCTGT